ATTTCTTGCGTCTGGAGGAGGGAGGTTCTTACCCACGAAAGCTTATGCTCCAATACATCTGTTAGTCTCAAAGGTGCCACAGGACCCTCTGTTGCTTTTTACAGGGGGAAAACTGTTTCTCATATTGTTATTTTAGCCCTACTAAACCATAGCAGAAAAGTCACTTTCAAGACTGTTTAGAAGTCATACTTATAATTGGGCCCAACCCTGCGATATGCTGACTACCCTCTAGCAGGTGTTGAGCTCTCTTTCGGGTATGTCTATATTGGCAGAGTTACAGTGCCGGCAGTTACATCGCCGCTCAGAGAGCGCTGAAGGGAAACTGCTGTTGTGTGTTCACACTGTCAGCTGCCTGCGCAGTAGCATGTTCACACTTGCAGCGGTATTTGGAGTGGTGCACTCTGGGCAGCTGTCCCATAGAGCATCTCTTCTTCTGCTGCTGCTAAGAGTTGTGGGAAGGCGAAGGAGGTCACAGGGCATCCTGGGTCCTGTCCCAATGCCCCATGATGCATTGCTTTGCATGCCAGAAATCCCTGTGCTTCCGTCTGCATTAGACGCAATCTTTCAACGGTTTGTGTACTTCATGCTCTGCCTCTTCGGTCTGCAGGAATGGATCCCGCACTGTTGACCAATATGATGCTCGCAATCACTAACACATCACGAGTGGCAGTGGAGTTATTCCTTAAACTACAAAGGCAAGAGGAGTTCAAGATTGATCTCGCCCCGCATAGTACCTATGACACGAGATTGCTTGTGGCATTCATGGAGGTGCTGGCCACAGTGGAACGCCACTTTTGGGTTCGGGAAACAAGCACTGAATGGTGGGATCACATCGTTGTGCATGTCTGGGATGACGAGCAGTGGCTGCAGAACTTTCGAATGAGGAAAGCCACATTCGTGGGACTGTGTGATGAGCTCACCCCAGCTCTGTGACGCAAGGACATGAGAATGAGAGCTGCCCTGTTGTTGGAGAAGTGTGTGGCAATTGCACTGTGGAAGCTGGCTACTCCAGACTGCTACCGATCGGTCACTAACCAGTTCGGAGTGGGAAAGTCGACCGTTGGACTCGTGTTGACGGAAGTGTGCAGGGCCAGATGAATTACATTCTGCTCCGAAAGACCGTGACTCTGGGCAACATGTGTGACATTGTGGATGGCTTTGCACAAATTGGCTTCCCTAACTGCAGAGGGGCGATAGATGACATACATATTCCAATTTTGGCACCAGACCACCTAGCCACTGAGTATATTAATCGGAAGGGGTATTTCTCTATGGTTCTCCAGGCGCTTGTGGATCACCGTGGGGGTCCAGAAAGGTGCATGATGCACGCATCTTTCAGAACACTGGCCTGTTCAGGAAGCTGCAAGCAGGGACTTTCTTCCTGGACCAGAAGATCACCATAGGGGAAGTCAAAATGCCAATTGTGATCCTGGGGGACACTGCCTACCCCTTAATGCGGTGGCTTATGAAGCCATACACAAGGAACCTTGACAGCAGCAAGGAGCAGTTCAACAACAGGCTGAGCAAGTGCAGAATGACTGTTAAGTGTGCTTTTGGCCGTTTAAAGGCCCACTGGCGCTGCCTATATGGGAGGCTGGACCTGGCTGATGACAATATTCCTATGCTTATAGCCGCGTGCTGTACACTCCATAATATTTGTGACGGGAAGAGTGAAAGCATCACTCAAGGCTGGACCGCTGAGGCTCAGTGCCTGGAGGCTGAATTTGAACAGCCAGAGACCAGGGCTATTAGAGGGGTGCAGCATGGGGCCATAAGGATCAGGGATGCCTTGAGGCAGCAATTTGAAGCTGCAAGCCACTAATATTTGTTGCTATGCTCAGGAGTGCAGTGCTTGTAATGCTAGGAGGTGATTGTGATTGGCGCAGACGATGCCCAGTGAAGGTTTAAGAAAATTGCCTGTTGATTTGCAGGCTCTGTTTGCTTTCAATTAATGGAATAAAGATTGCTTTCAAACCAAAACAATTATTTTATTTAAAAAAAAAAAAAGAACGGAGGACCGAGACAAACAAACAAAACACATCAGCACTGTGAGGGATGGGGGAAGGGGAGGTGGGGTCCTGGGACAGTTAAAGATTTGTGTATGTCCAGGTATCATATGCAACCTTATCCTTTGGAGTACAGTGCAGTGGGTACTGTACTTCAGCAGGGCTAAATTGCAGAGGGATGGATGTTGAGTGCGGTGGGTACTGGGAGTCCACAGGGCTTGGCTGTGACGGGGCAGGAGTGGAATGCAACAGGTACAGAGTGGAGCCAGGAGGTTGATAAGCAGTGTCTGGGGGGCGCATGGGAAAGAGTTTTGCGACAGGGAGGGCAGACACAGAGCTGTTTGGTTTGCAGTGCTAGTAGCACCTGGATAGTGTCCGCTTGGCGCTCCATAACATTTAAGAACTGCTCCGTGGCTTCATTCTGGCGCACTGCGTTCTCCTTTCGGTCCCTCTTCTTGCTGTCCTGCCACTCCTTCAATTCTTGTTTTTTGGCCGCGGAGTGCACCGTGACATCACGCAGAAAGTCCTCTTTAGTTCTTTGTCGCCGCTTTCTAATTCTGAGCTGCTGTTCAGCCATCGATAACAAAGAAGGAGGCTGCGCTCCCAAGGTCATATCTGCGAAGCCAAAATGCAACAATTTACAGAAGCAGTATTGTTTGCAACACAGAGACCACTGATTTAAAACACAGCTACTATTCACATACCTGTCACTAACTGGCTGACCCCAGGCAAACACACACGAGCCACAAGACCCCCTCCCCCCCCAAATGGTTAGTAACCACAGGGGCAGTGGAAATCAGTATTCCAGGACCATACTGTACACTGGGCACTTGGCTCTTAGGGAGAGCCAGCACTGTAGGGGGGACCTTATAATCATTACTGTCCCCACATTTTCCACAGGCTGTGTTCATTATGGAAGTTATCTCGCTGCAGAGGGTGAGCAGGGAATTAAGGGGAGGGTCGTCTCCAAGACTGCAGCTTCCATCCTGGCCCTTATGCAGCTCTCCTGTGTGCGGCAATGGTCCCCCCGTCCCCCAGTGACAGCAGAGTGGCACAGGAAAGTTACCCTTAATGAGGCAAGAAACAAAGCAGCTCTGCCAAAGAACCTGTGGCAGTGGATTGCCCAGTATCTCCATGAGAGTTTCCAGGAGATCTCTGAGGCAGATTCCTGTGAGGTGAGGGAATCAATCAACAGCCTGTTCCGCCGCTCAGACTAGGCATGTGGTGGTATGCGCATCATACAGACACAAGTCTGCTTTCTGCAACCCTCCTGCCCCCAGCAACTTGCTTCAGCGATTCCCAAAATCAAAGCCACTTACCAGGGGCCTCCTCTCCTGTTTGCGCTTCGCCAAGATCCGACAGCTGTGACTGGCTACCCTCCTCTGGGGTAGAGAAGAGCTCCTGGCTGAATGCATCTCTGATCTCCGAGTCGTCCTCTGTCTCTGGGTCCCCCTGTCCCTCCACATCCTCGTCCAAGATTTCCTTCTCCAGGCTCAGTTCACTCTCAACTGGCATATGAGCCACCGAAGTATCGACAGTCACCACCGATTATCACATCCAGCTCTTTGTAGAACCGGCAACTCGTGGGTGCAGCATTGGATTGACAGTTTGCCTCCTGCACCTTGTGGTAGGCGTTCCACAGCTCCTTCACTTTGACCCTGCACTGCAGTGTGTCCCGGTCATGGCCCCTTTCTATCATGCATCGTGAAATCTGTCCGTCGGTATCATAATTCCTACGGCTGGAGTGCAGCTGGGACTGGACAGCCTCCTTTCCCCAAATGCTGATGAGGTCCAGCAGCTCGGCATTGCTCCAAGTGGGGGATTGCCTGGTGCGTGAAGCAGGCATAGTCACCTGGAAAGATACGCTGAGACCACTGCATGGGTCACCAGCAAATAGGAAGGGGACTTTCAGAATTCCCAAGGAATTTAAGGGGTGGAGCTCACAATTGGTCGCCTGAGGGCAAGGCAGTAGTGTTCAAACTGATGACCAGAAAGGTGAGAACAGGCATTGTGGGATACTTCCTGGAGGCCAGTTGCAGCGCTGTAATCAACCAGGGTGTCTACACTGGCACTGTGGCGCTGTAGCCCAGGCACAGAAAGCTGTATGCCTCGTCAGGGTGTTTTACCGCGCTGCAACTGTGCAGTTTCTGCGCACTAGGTTGCTTGGTAGTGTGTACGCTTCGGGAGTTACACCACAGAAAGCTGCTTTACTGCACAGAAACTTGCCAGTGTAGACAAGGCCTTACTCTTTACTGAAGTCACGAGCTCATTGAAGGCATGGGTGTGTATGGCAGAAACCTGAATTATTTATACTGTAATTGGGAAGCAGGAGGTAGAAATTGTCTGGATGTATTGCTTGACTGATTGATTTACTGTGCTATAATACATTCTATAAGTGTAACTCTGTTTCAGAATTATTGTAACACAAAGTAAGGCTCCAATCCTGCAAAGACTTAACTTTACATCCCTAAGTAGTTCTACTGAGTTCAGTAGAAAGAACAGGAGTACTTGTGGCACCTTAGAGACTAACAAATTTATTAGAGCATAAGCTTTCGTGGACTACAGCCCACTTCTTCGGATGCATCCGAAAGCTTATGCTCTAATAAATTTGCTAGTCTCTAAGGTGCCACAAGTACTCCTGTTCTTTTTGCGGATACAGACTAACACGGCTGCTACTCTGAAACCTGAGTTCAGTAGGACTACGCACATGTATGAAGTTAAGTATGTGTGTAAGTCTTTGCAGGATCAGGACAGAAGGGACAACATACGTGCCATACTATGTCAATTGAGCATGTGAAATGCCTTTATAGTAAATGTTATCTTTCAAAATGTCTGTTTACATTTTAGATGATACTCCTCCTGAAAACACCTTTCCTTTGGCTTTTCCAGAACTAGAACAGCAACTTCAGGTAAACTTTGAATTTTATTTGTAACTGATTCTATACCATGTATATTAGATTAAAAAAAAAAAGCTTGAAACAATATATTTGTGCTGTTATGGTTAAGTTACTGTGAGTGTTTCAGTGGTGCACATCTGAGCTCTAAAAATTTATGGGACTGCACATTTGCATAGAGAGAGAAACTATATCAACAAGGTGATTGGTTTGAATTTTCAACCCAGTGCAGGGAAATTTGGCCATTGTGGCAGTTGCTAATTTTTTTTTTATTTACAAATTATTTGTGTGCAAACCATAGCAGGGCCCATCCTGCTGCCATTGGACTGAATAGGAGTTTCACTGCTGATTTCAATGGGAGAAGGATTGTGCCAATACTTTGTAAAATGGTTTAAAGCCCATATCCAGTCCAAGATAGGCTCCTGGCAAGATACTTCACTGAGGCTACAAAGCATTCAGTGAAGATGGGGCAAGAAAGGACTGGTATACAAAGGTTTTTCTTGCATTTCACTCCTAAACTTAATCTTAGGCCATCCTGGTACCAGGTCAGTCTCCAGCATAAATTAGAGCAAGGGTTCTCAACCTTTTTCTCTCTGTGGCCCCTCCCAACATGCTATTAAAAACTCCATGGCCCACAAGTGCCACAACAACTGTTTTTCTGCATATAAAAGTCAGGGCCAGCGTTAGGATGTAGCAAGCAAGGCAGTTGCCCAGGTCCCATGCTCCAGGGGGCCCCACAAAGCTAAGTTGCTCAGACTTAGGCTTCCGTACTGGGTGGCGGGGCTCTGGGCCTCAGCCTTCAGCCCCATGCAGTGGGGCTTCAGCGTTCTGCCCTGGGCCCCAGCAAGTCTAATGCTGGTCCTGCTTGGCAAACCCCCCTGAAATCTGCTTGCGGCCCCCTAGGGGGCCCTGGACTCCTGGTTGAGAACTGCTGAATTAGAGTATCCTGAAGGTTACCCTAATTTATGCTGTTTGGTCAACAGCCCCCACTACAACAGTCAGTGATCACAAGGATGTAAACACCTAGCCATGTTCCCTTTGCCTCAGCCACACTTTCGACATAGGAGCTGCTACAGTGATGGGGGAATCCTCCTGCCGCCTGCTAAGATGGCTTTAGGGCTGTAGTTTGTGATGCAAGGATAACACAAAGCAGGCCAACTCACCACAGAATTGGACCATTTCTGTGGGTCCATGGAAACTCAGAGGTTTAGGAGGCAAAGAGCTGGCTCCCTGTTCCTAGGGTCAGTGTCCCTCCATAGTAGCAGCAGAATGACAACAGTTTCATTTTTGATGGCTGCTTCAGATCATATCCTTCCCAGGAACACTCAGGCTCATGTAAATGACAGCAGGCATCCTCTGACATTTAAATGCAAAGGCAGGTGCTTTCCTTACATAAAATGGGAAATATTTTCAAAGGAGCTATGTGGTCCAATAATGTTTCCTTAGCTGTCTTTTGTCAACTAAGGAGATGATGCCAGGGAGCCACTGGTCTGGAGAAACCTCATTTTCTGTCCTTCCCACTACTCACCAAAAAGATGGCAGGGGAAGGGCTGGAGGATAACGGAGGCTGTCCTCACCCTCCCCATCAGAATACAGAGAACAGGGGTGGGCCTGTGGGATTTGTAGGGAAGGTAAGAGGAATGGGCCCAGAATACAGAATTCTGGTGTAAAGCTTGGTGAGGTGCATGATGGTATGATAGCCTTTCTTCAGTCTGCTGATCTTCCTGCTGGCTCAGAAGGCTGTGGATATTTTCTGCAGCATATAGCCCTAATTTGATTGAGCCAGTAGTTTCTAATGGCTAGAGCACTGCATAGGAGTCAGGAAACCTGGGTGCTATTCCCAGCTCTGCAGTGACTTCCTGTGTGACCCTGGACAAGTCACTTCACCTCTCTGTGCATCTGTTTATCCTGTGTAAAATGGAAATAGTGATGTTTACTTTTCTATGTAAAACACACTGAGATCTCTGGATGAAGAGTGCTATGTATGACTATCTTTGCTGCTTGTGATATTTAAAATCAAAGTTACCCAGATAATCTGTTATTGCTACTTTACATCCAAAGTGTCTATTTTTTAATTTTTAATTTTTAAAAAATTGTTTGCGGTGTTGGTCCCAGGACGTTAGAGAGACAAGATGGGTGAGGTCATATTTTTAATTGGACCAAATTCTGCAGGTGAAAGAGAGAAAACCCATGGGTGAACACTTTTCACAAAACGATCTTATCTGACCTCTCAGTCCTCATCTACAAAGCAAACCTGCACAACACCTTCAAAAGATGAGCTTGGAAACTTAAATTCATAAAACTGTGGGCTGGTCCACACTGGGGCCGGGGATCGATCAAGGAAACGCAACTTCAGCTACGAGCTTCAGCGTAGCTGAAGTCGACGTTTCCTAGATCGAACTAAGTTTACTTACTGCGGGTCCACGCGGCGCAGGCAGGCTCCCCCGTCGACAGCGCTTCCTCCTCTCGGCGAGCAGGAGTTCCGCAGTCAACGGGGGAGTGCTTCTGGGATCGATTTATCGCGTCCAGATGAGACGCGATAAATCGATCCCAGAAGATCGATCTCTACCCGCCGAATCAGGCGGGTAGTGTGGACCTACCCTGTGTCACCAGATCCCCTCACCACAGGTGGCACCTCCCCCTGGCCACTCTGGGAATTAGCTCTTTCCCAGTCCAAGGCCCACTTTGGCTACTCGCTGCACACCCTGCTGCCACTCTCTCACGCTTTCTGCGACTCAAGGTGCTCCTTCTTCGTGACTTGGCCCTCCAGCCAGGTCCCTATGCATGTTTCCTCCTTCTGAGGTATCAAACTCAGTTCCTTACCAGCAGTCTTAGTCAGCCTTTTCATTCACTGCCCCGATGATGCCACTTTCACAGTGGCTGGTAGACCACCCAGGACCACCCTCTACTCTAGATTCCAGCTCAGGACCCTCTAGTCAGCAGCCAAGGTTTGCACCATCCTGAACCTTGCTTCCTTTTTGCCTGAGCCTTTCGTACTCCTTCTGGCTCTGATACCCACCCCAATCCCCCAGGTTTGCCAGCCCAATCTTTCTCCTCTCAGGGAGTAACTGAAGGCTAATTTCTATAGCCCCAAACACACACCCCTTCTCCCAGGTAGTGACTACAGACTACTTCCCTGCAGCCTCTCTCTGCTATCAGTTCTCTGGCTTTGTAGAACCCCATTCCTGTTCCTATACATATGATCTTCCCTTAATTAGGGCTTTCCTCTCAGCCTTAGTTCCCCCAGTTTGCAGCCTAATTAATTGGCCCCTCTGGTCTACATTAACCCCTTCAGGGCAAGTGTGAAGAACACACCCTATCAGACTCTGCTAGACACTAAAAATCTCTCTGCACTAAAAACCTCTTCCAGACCTGAAGAACAGCTCTGTGTAAGCTCACAAACTTGTCTTTCACCAACAGAAGTTGGTTCAATAAAAGATATTACCTCACCCACCTTGTCTCTCTATGTTTTTATTAAGACTTTTACAACCCACTTTTAGTACATATAATATACTCTCTAAATGTATACTTTCACAATAGACTGAAACTGCTCCTCTGGAAGCATTTAAGTCTGTTGGATAAATAATAGCCTTTTACAAAATATTCTAAATACACAGTGGAAAAATTCTACAAGGAGCCCTCTTGGTCTGTTGAGTCCATAACATTTTTTTTTTTAAGAACTGCCTAAATATTTCTTTCTCCCTAAAGAACTCAAGATGCCACAGCCAATCTGAAGAAACCATCAAAGGCTTTGGGTCAGATAGTGTTCTTTTTATTATCTTTCAGGAACATTTTTGTAATATCAGGGAAGTATACATTATGATGAGTGTCTGGCTGATTCTACCAGATTAATTAATGTTGGTCTTCATTCTTAGGCCAAGTCCTTCTAACACTTACACACATGCTTACATTTATACACATAAGTAATTACATTGAGTTAATGTGCAAGTGCTCAAGTGATAGCCAGATTGGGCCTTAAGCTCAGACTTTTATGCTGTGTTTAAATTTAACAGTGAATTCAGCTCAGCCTTGAGTTTCCTTCCTTCCTTGAGTTTGTTTCACAACTATAGTGTAAATGAAATGGATTTTATATTTAATATCTTAAACTTTATATGTATCTACTGTAAACTAGCTAGGCAATTTTATTTTGATTTTTCTCTGAATCCAAAATGCTAAGTCAATTGCAGAACAACAATGAGAAATCCTTTGACTTAAGTATGCTTGTGTGTATCTTCACAATAAAAATACCAATATTTCAGGCTACAAGGCTTTCCTCACAGTGTCAGGTTTATAGGCAGAGACACTGATATTTTATTAAGAGAAACAAAGTATACATGTAAGTGCAAGGTAAATGGATATACAATGGTTGATACTCAGTTTTTCTTAAAAAGTAACTTGCCAATTGCGAGCTCCCAAACTCCTAAAGGAGGATTTTGAAACTTGTAATATCAAAGAGCACAAATGACTGGAACCCTTGTGGTGGGATTTTCAAAGCCACAAAACTAATTTGGGTATTCAATAAGTGACTGAAAATCTCAGCCTTATAGTTTAGTTCTTTTAAGCCAGAATCCTGGGCAGCAGTCTACAGACCAGATATCAGGCAGTGTGCTACTCTCTTCTCTGTTGGATGAGTGGCCTCTCTCCCTAGATGTCAGAGCCCCGAAGAGATACTGGCAGCCTTGAAATGGATCATCCCACTGCCATTCATCACTATCCGGATCCACCCACCCTTTGTGCACTTGCTTGTGGGAGAACTCTGCAGAACTGGTCTTGGTACTCCACAGAACGTGTGCACTTCCCATTGGGCTGTGGAGCTTTGTCAGTCCGCTATAAGCTGAGATTCTGCAGAGGTGAAGATCCAGATCCAGAATAAATATTTCTAGATGACTAATTGCAAATATTTAGTGCTTTATAGCCATTCTTAAAACAGAGCACTTTTGATAATTGAAAGTTAAATGCTTTTTCTGAAAAATGGAAATTTCATTCCAGTATTCTGATCTACTTAGTGAAGTCAC